CGCCTCAGAAATCAGGTTGGTACACAGCTGACAGACCTATTTGACAACTGTTAAAATTTATATTATGGCAAGAACCAATCAGCTAAGTAAAGGGAAACAACAGTCCATCATCACTTTAAGAACTGAAAGTCAGTGAGATGGAAAATTGCTAACACTTTGAATGTGTCTCCAAGTGCAGTGGTAAAAACCCATCAAGTGCTATGACGAAACTGGCTCACATGACCAAGAGTCACCTCTGCTGCTGAGGATAAATTCATCTAAGTCACCAGACCAGAAATCCCAAGTTGAAAGCACCTCAGATTAGTTTTTTAATGTCTGAGTGAAAGTGAAATTGTTTTGCGGCAGGTGCTTCTTATTTTGAAAGTCTTCTCTTACTGTCACTAGGCGTTAAGCTTCCTTTGAGTCAAACACAGCGAGTGAGGATATGTTAACCTACCTCAGAGTCGGAGTGAAAAGTCACATATTTAACTTAAAAACCCAGAAGTCATGGCTTTGATGAAAATTTGGTGAAGGACATGGAAATGGGGACGACGGTTACATATTATGTACTAGTTATAATATAAATGATCAAAATGTGTGCTAATACATGCTTGTCCAATTACATCCCAATGTTTGGACACTCATTACATCAAACGGTGCACTGCATCCTGATGTTTTGATCAAATCCCTCATGGAAAACACAAAGGCCAGTTTTCTTTGTGGATTGACTGACACTTTTGTATTTGTTCAACAATAACATTCGTCTTCACAATTACAAATTGCCAAACAATTATGCACGGACGTCTTCCACTGCTGGAGCTTGATGTGACAAATTCAATTTTGCAGTTTCATATTTACAGGAGCTTAGGATGTCTATGTTTTAAGTTTCCAAACAAAAGACAAACAGTCAGTCATGAACTAGTTTATTTAACAGCTGAACTCATTAAAGCATAAATATTTGTCTCAACTCAATACTCGCAAACGTGCAGACAGTCGTTACATAAGTACAGATACTGAGTGGTAAATACTCTAGTAATCATCATCATATATGAACGTGTGCAAATATGTACACAGAACAGTTCAAAATGGCGAACACTTTAAAGTTAATTGTAGTGTTTTCATATTAAATTGGTTGAAAAATAATTGTTTTAAATTACTTTGGAAACACTTTAGCCACCAGCTACCTGGCGTTAGGAGTGATAACCAGCCTTAGCAGAGAAGGGGAAGTTATATCATTTTCTTATGATGGAAAGGTTAATGGAATATACTTTTTTTGCATTTTGTGATTGGACCACCAACTATAGATGGAAACCTGAGCATGCGCACAGAAGGCTTATCCGATTATCTGGACTAGATTAGGAGTTAAAATTGGATTTCACAAGGTGTAAGAATGCTAAAATCAGTTGTGGTGAAAAGAATAACAAGTTGTAACAATTTCTCTTGTGAGTTCCAGGAGATTTTCCGAGTAGGCTATAGGCAATGATCAGTTTAGACTTGCTGCTGCTGCTCTGAGGTTAACTGTCTTTCCACAACTCAGTTAATCCAAATATAAGCACATATTACATGAGAGGACATGGCGGATTTCCAACTCGTCTACATTATAATCCTGAAATTCAGTGAGTTAATCTGATGAGCAACATCATCTTAAATTCAAATTGATGTCTGCATCTATAATAAAGCTAATAAGCCATAAAATGAAGATATAGGAAAGAGTTTTAGTAGCTAGGCTAAGAAGAGAGGTGACAATCGGAGAACAGAACAAATGGGATGTTTGCTTTGAGGGTGCTGATGGAGAAGTACACAGAAGGTTGGAAGGAGCTTCGCTGTGTCTTTGTGGATCAAGAGAAAGCATAGGACAGGGTGCCAAGAGAGGAACTGTGATACTGCATGAGGAAGTCGAGAGTGGCAGACACGTGAGAGTGGTGCAGGGCATCCAATGAAGACAGTGGTGAGCTGTGCATGAGCAGTGACAGATCAGTTCAAATGAAGCTACAGACTTTGGTTGCACAAGAGAGGTAAAGGAAAAAGTGCAGGCAGAGTGGAGACGAGTGTCAGGGGCGATTTGTGACAGAAAGAGAGCAGCAAGAGTGAAAGGGAGGTTTTACAGAATAGTGAGCTACTGTGAGTTGTTTTTTTTTTCAGGCTTAGATTTAAATCATTTTGTTGACTATATTTTGATGAGATGGTGAAATGGTAAGGGCTAACAATAGCAACCTTGGTTAGGAAGCACAAACTCCTTCAGTGGCGCTAACACATCACAGGACATATTATTTGTTAATTCCTTAATCTTCCAGTATTTGAGCACAAACACAGTTAAGTCCTTTTCACTGTGGCCAAGTAGATGGCAGTCTGCTACAGCTGCCTGTAGATGCAGACAGATGCACACATAACTTTAGGCCTTAAAAGAGAGGTTACGTATTTAGAGAGATTTTTAAATCCTCTCTTAAATGGACTCTATAGAGAAATGTTTAATATACATATAATATAAAAACATATAATTTACATATAAGTTTATTCTGATTTTTACTTTAAAAAAAAAAAAATCCAAATCAAGTCAGAGCCATTTGCCCTGGCAGTACTTTAAAAGCTACGACATGAAATGATCTGACACTGGGCTGTCATTGCTTCACTGCTGTCCTCTGTGATTGTCATGAGTAAGCACTGCTGGGTTATGACAGCAAATAAAACTGAGTAATTTCTAAGCTCTGAAGAACGCTTCTATAAAATTATGAATAGAGTAGACTTGTAGTCAAGACCGCCTAATCCGAGACCAAGACAAGACCAAGACCAAGTTGAGACGAGACCGAGACCAAGACCGAGACCGAGACAAAAAAAGTCTTTAAACTGCAGCCAGATGCTATTCTATATACATATTCAGGACACCTTAAACTAGTTTTTTAATTAAGCAGCAAGGCAGAACAAAGTCGGGCCTGTATCAAGACACAGGGACTAAACCCCAATTCAACCAGACCCAAAACTGATCTGGAATTAAAACAGGACTACAACAGTAACCAAGACAGAACCAGAATCAGAACTAGATGATAGTAGCACTAAAAATCATCATAGACCTGCACTACACTTATTTTTTAATTCTACCAAAGTACAATATTTAGATTGAGAAAAGTTTATATAATTATTTAGCCTTGTTGTGCAAACAAGCCTGCATAACTTAATAAATATAGAATTTGAAAAGTAACAAATGGTATCTAAAAAGAAACACTAGGTACTAGATACATGTTCTGATGAGTTTTGGCAAACAACCATTTGACTAACATGTGTGTCTCACCTGCTCTTGTTCCCTCTCTGCTCCTCTCTCTCCCTCTTTGTGCTGACAATCAAGCCAAACACCAACATCATCAAATATACAGTTGAAACCAGATATTTATGTACTCTTCAGATAAAAACACAAACACTTTTTTAATTGTAACATCAAATCACATGGACTCTACTAACCTATCAGAAGCTTCTTTAGCTCAGAATGGAATCGTCTGGAGTTTTCTTATTAATTAACAATAAACTTAGTGTATATGTACTCCTAAATTTGATGAAAGTGATTAAAATAGACAGCTCCCTCTTTTTATTCTGACATTTAACTAATTCAAAAGATATTTCAACATTTATTTATCTAAAACAAAAGTTTACTCTAAATTGATGTTTAACAGTAAAAAAAAGTTTTTATGTTTTCTCCATAAAGTGTATGTAAATATCTGGTTTCAACTGTGAATATACTGCTGTGTATTGAAATTCCTCTTGTTTTGCATAGATATACTGAACAACATCCAAAGCATAATATATAAAATAACATCTACCTGAGTTTTTTCTTTGAAAGAAGCTCCTTATGTCCATTGTTGTGTTCATCAGTACACAACTGAAACCGATTTAGAGAGTTTGTTTAGCCGTGGAGGGTAACAACTGAAAATATGAAATGTAAGCTAAGACTAAAAAATCAGCATTGCTGTTCGGCTTTTTATTTATCCATTTGTTGATTCACTCGAAGAGCGAGTAACGCAACCAAGTGATCAGTTTGATATCAATCTTTTGTGATACACCGTCATATTTACATTATTAGTTCAGTACGAATGATTTGCTTTGGTACCTGGTCAAACTTAAGCTCTCCTCTGTCTGCAGCAAATTCGCAGGCAGCAGCTTCTCCCCCCTCGCTCACATGGGTGCTGCGCTCAGTCGCCTAGTGCCTGAGCTCGGATCATACCAAAATTAGGGGGAATTTACGACGGTGCGCTCTGTGCTTCGTGTGTTGTTTTTGGGCTTAAGCCCAGTAAGCCACCCCCCCCCACTCCGCTGATGGTTGACTCCAAATCTCCCGAACACTATGTCGATTTGAGAACGCAAGACCGAAACAGCGAGACCAAGACCGAGACCAAGACCACGTAAAAGTCGAGACCGGTCTCGAGACATCCAACTCTAGAATAGAGTAATAAGTTCGTTATAGTTATATAATTATAAATTAAAATACGTTTTTATAGAAAGTATCAGTTATAGAAGTAAACAATTCCCTTGTGTGTGCTTCTGCTCATTTTAGCTTTTTCTTTTTCTTCCCAATAACAGGGCTGCTGGAAATCTCGGAGAACTGTGTTGGAGTCCTGCTCTTGGCTGGTGGTCAGGGGACCCGTCTTGGTGTTCAGTACCCTAAAGGAATGTACAATGTTGGGCTGCCGAGTGGCAAAACTTTGTATCAGATCCAGGCAGAACGCATTCGCAAAATCCAAGAGCTTGCAGACAGCAAACATGGCTCTAAATGCACTGTTCCATGGTAGGTTCCTCTTGCGCTGCTAATCTGATAAAGTGTAAGAGTATATACTCAAAGTCAAAGTAAAAATCCTGATGCATTTTCTCTTTCTATAAGTTTTTGTAATGTTAACTTTTTCAATAAAGTCAACATTAACCTCCTAGGACCTGGCGTCCACATATGTGGACATCACATTTTGGGTTATTTAGACCAAAATACTAAATCTTGCTCTACAAGGGCCTGATATCCACTTACTGATACTGTTCTATCGAAAGTTTAAACGAATATCCTCATATGTGGCTGAAATTTTCTTAGAAACAAAAATCAGGTAAAAAAAAATAAAAATCGGGTAATTCTTTAAGTTAACATTGGTTTGAAAACGTGGCTGTGGTTCATGTGGTTGAGAATGTCATCTACTAATCAAAAGGTCTGCTTGCCAAAGTGTCCTTGGCCAAGACACTGATTCTCAGGTTGTCCCTGCATCCATCGGAGTGTGAGAATGTTTGTGAATGTTAGAAAGCATTTAGGCATTAATAAAAGCACCATATCAGAGTGTGCGTGATTGTAGTAGAAAGTATTTTCAGTGCTCAACTAAGTAGAATGGCTCTATACCACTCGGCATCACTTCCTTTAGCTTTTACATGGATAATAGTTTTAATTTTTCAAAACATTTTTCTAAATAGATTTTGCTAATGCTGCATTCAGTTTAACCCCCGAAACAGGAGTTCCACAATAGTCCTCCACTGCTGCAGACTGTGTGTAACGGTGTATAATCTCTACCCTCTGTGCTCTTCAGGTACATAATGACCAGTGAATTCACTCTGGCTCCAACTGAGACTTTTTTTAAGGAGAACAACTATTTTGGACTGGAACCAACAAACATCGTTATGTTTGAGCAAAGAATGATTCCAGCTGTGACATTTGATGGAAAAGTCATCTTGAAGGATAAAGGGAAGATAGCCATGGCACCAGGTGGGTGCATATGAAGTTACACAGAAGAGTCAGAAACAAATATGAGTGGAGTTATCTAAACTTTGGTTTCAGATGGTAATGGAGGTCTGTACCAGGCACTGGTGGACAATAAGGTGCTGGAGGACATGAAGAAAAGGGGAGTAAAGTACCTGCATGTGTACTGCGTGGACAACATTCTGGTCAAGATGGCCGATCCTGTGTTTATTGGCTTCTGTGTGAGCAAGGGCGCTGACTGTGGGGCCAAGGTGGAGTAATACAGCATCACACAGTATACATGAAAGAATACATTAAGATGTCTTTTACATTGTAATTGAATATAATCAATAGAAGGATTATATTTTGTGGAAAGTGAATTTCATTTTTGTTTCTTATGAATATTTTCTTTGGACTCTCACGTTAAACGAAGTTACTTGAATAGCAGTCCAATCCTTCAGCTACAATAAATCGTGCAGAACTGTGTCCAGTACGAGTATCTGTGTAGTCATTAGAGCAGACTGCATATAGCCAAGTGATTGGCTGTACATGAGTATGCTAATGGTTTCTCCTAATTCTTCCTTGTTCGTCCACCTCTGTCTTGCTTTAGGTGGTGGAGAAGGCGTACCCTACAGAGCCGGTCGGCGTGGTTTGCAGAGTACGAGGGGTATCCCAGGTGGTCGAGTACAGTGAGGTCCAGCCACAGACGGCTGAACTGCGAGGACCTGGAGGAGAGTTGGTTTACAGTGCTGGAAACATCTGCAATCACTTCTTTACCAGGAGCTTCCTGCAGGATGTGGCAGAGTAAGGGGCAGCACAACATTATAAACAATCGAATGGTAGCTTTTAGTAGTACACAAATGACCAAAAAAAATTAAGAAAGAACAAATTTGAGCTCTTTTTATTCTGCAAGTTAGATCTGGCTGTTTCAGTGTATGCTAGATGTTTGTTAAAGAGTCCACAAATAGACCAAAACAATATATTAGTGCATAAATGTGTACTGTCCCAGCCTGTTGGGGTATCTTAGCTTCAATTAGTTTTTAGTGAGCACACATAAACCTCTAGAAGGTAGTAGTTGCTATAGTTCAGTGATTCTCACTTCATAATCATTGTTGGGGAGTTCAGAGGGCCCGGTGGCGCCAGTGTCTGTCAGTGCGCCACAGGGTGGCTGTGGCTACAATGTAGCTGCCATCACCAGTGTGTGAATGTGTGTGTGAATGGGTGGATGACTGGATGTGTAAAGCGCTTTGGGGTCCTTAGGGACTAGTAAAGCGCTATACAAATACAGGCTATTTACCATTTACCATTTCTTTCTAGGGATCTGCAGCAACGCTTAGCTGTGTGGTGCAGTTCTATGCAAAAGTCTTAAAACACTACTTGAGTTTCTTTATATTTTGCTTCAAAGGAGCTCGCCTTTGTTGTAATATTTTAAATTGGTCATGAGCAGTAGTTCTCCACGCTTTCTAAGTTTTTCAGTGGACGTTGGCTGCTTTGTCACTAACTTTCAGTCCAGTCCTTGAACCTGATCTCTCTCTTTTTTTTCTTTTCTTTTTTTCTTTTCTTTGTTTGTTAAGACCGGCGTTAGCACTGGTCAATGATTCATTCGAGCATAAAAGGCTATTTAACTGAAGGGATGAGTCAGTGCTTTGTTTACTGATAACTGACAACTTGGCAAAGAAGAAGTCTTAACATGTTTTTCACTGCCAAATTAACCAGATTTTAATTATACAGCTATTGAACTTCATTGCTCCTTGAGTATAAAACCCTCCATTTTTATGGTATTCCATTTTGTTTGGTGCTGCTAACATATTTCATCTTTTAGGAAATATAAAGACCAGCTGAAGCAACATGTTGCCTTAAAGAAAGTGCCCTTTGTTGACGCACAAGGCGTTCAAGTCAAACCATCCAAATCCAATGGCATAAAGATGGAGAAGTTTGTTTTTGACGTCTTCAAATTCTCAAGGTATTAATTGCTCTACATTATCTTTCAGTTTGTATGTGTTTACACATGTTGTTTTTACTGTATAGGTGATTTGCAATTAATTAGAAATTTACTCCCTTGTATTTGGAAGGAACTTCGTTGCGTTTGAGGTTGTCAGGGAGGATGAGTTTTCCCCCCTGAAAAATGCAGATGGCTCAGCCACAGACAACCCGACCACAGCCAGGAACTCTCTGCTGGCTCAACACTGCCGTTGGGTCACATCTGCTGGAGCCACACTGTTGGATAAATATGGGAATCCCCTTCCTCTTCCCAGGTCAGAGATGCTCCTATGTACTCCACACCCTGAGGAGCTGATTTGTTGTTACTACTATTGGAATAATAATATATACTTTGTGGCATGTAGCTCTTTTTAAAATGTATGTTAGTGTTGTTTTCAGGCTGATAGAAAAAAAAATTGAAACCTATTATTTAAATCTCAAGTTGTGCATTATTCATCCTGCAGCGTGTCAGCTGATGACAGTCCTCCGGCTCAATGTGAGATTTCACCGCTTGTCTCGTACTTTGGAGAGGTGAGAACAGTGTGTTAAATTGTGGAACCCTGCAGAGCACTTAGAGACAGCGATTCTTTCTTGTATTATAGATACACTGCGGACAAAAAGTACTCACTAAATAATTTTTTAGTTTTGCTCATGACTTAACTCCTGCCTCATCTCCTCTGTCAGGGTCTGGAGCAGCTGCTGAAAGGGAGGACAATTCATACTCCCTTTGTTCTGGATGAAAAGCAGACCAAAAAGTTGCAAGCTCAATAGCTTTTTTTTGTCATTTAGAGAGTTTTTTGACATTCCAAAACAGTGGATTGCAGCTTAGAGGTGTGTGCCAGGACTGTGGCAAAGTTTTGTTTTTTAATTTTGAATTGTTAGTAATTATGATCATATCCAAATGTCACTTTGATAACCTACAATGTGATGTTGTTTCCTGGGGGGAGAATTTCTAAAAGAAAAAAGAAATTGATCCACAAAAAATAAAAGAATATCAAAAATAAACCACTTTCATCTATTTTGTCTTTTGATAATCCAGAATACATGTGTGTGAATGATGGGGAGACGTGTGGATGAGTGAATGCCTGTTGGGTTACTTACTACCTTGGCTTAACCCCACCCCCCCACCCCCCATAGAGACCCATGAGGGAGGGTGTTTTACTGACTGATACAGTCACTTAGATAATAAAGTATTTTAACTTGAATGTATAAGAAACACAACATATTAATAAAACGGTCTACTTACCGAGCACATCTGGCTGTTAGGTCACGAAATCACCCCTTCTTCTGCAAATGCTGAGAGAGGCAAAAACAGACTTTAATAGATACCACTACTTACAGATTAAAATTAATAATACATAACCCTCCCACAGTTACATTAAGATGACTTCCCCCCCCCAACTTTTCACATATATATGTGAACATATGTAGATGAGGTATCATCACCTCATAACTGTAGCTACTTGGGAGCCATCTTGGTAAGGTCTTTTATGATTAGAAACATTTATGGAAGCAAAATAGCCCTAATTGTCACATCTGACCAGTGTATGTTTCCTGCCCTGACTTCTAACCCATATGTTTAAGAAATGATGTAAAAATCACAGTTTAATAAGTGTCATGAAATCAATATCCTTAGTATCCTTATTTTCCTATTATATTGTTTTATGTACTTTAATAATGAAGGCTTGTAGAACAAGGCCACTTTTGACTCACAAGCTAAGTGCTCAGCCAGACTAAAAAAACAGGAAGTTTTAGTGCATAGGCATATTAAAAGATAAGACTCAGAAAAGAGAAACTTTGCCATATAAGCAATGTTTGAAATTGTGTGTGACGTCTGAAGTACAGAAATAACACCATATAAGACACATGTTGAGCTAAAAATGTTAGAGCTCTTGCAACTGGCGTTTGAGCTGTGCAGGGGTCTCTCTCTTCCGGAAGATGATTGAATAAAAAGAAATGTTTTTTAACAATAGTGTTTTCTCTGTTATATCATGGGGACAAAAGAATCAGGGTTAATATTGATTAGGTACATTTATGGAAGCAAAATAGCCCTAATTGTCACATCTGACCAGTGTACGTTTTCTGCCCTGACTTCTAACCCGTATGTTTAAGAAATGATGTAAAAAATCACAGTTTAATAAGTCAGAACGCCAGAGAGTGGTGCCTTGAACCGCCCCTTCTGAGTGGCGGAAAGAACGCCTTTTTCCCGGTCTATGAACGCCGCTTTTCCCAACACTTGCAAAAACAGCGCTCATTGCGCAGCTGCGTATGACGTAAAAAGCGGCGTTGGAAGACCGGGAAAAACGGCGTTTTTTCCTCCACTCAGAAGGGGCGTTCAAGGCGCCAGTCTCTGGCGTAAAATACTGTGTTCTGTTCGGGTCAACGCCGTTTTTTTACGGCGTTCTGACTTATCAAACGGCGATTTTTACGTCATTTCTTAAACAAACGGGTTAGAAAATTGGAGAATTTTGGCCTAGATTGTTTGCCATACTAATCGCTGCTACTGTGAGTCGTTGGAAGGATAAAAACAAATCCACTGGAAGGAAGCGAGCGGGATGTTTACTTCCCAGCTGCCGAAACTCGACATATGTAATATGTCCTGGGTAGAAGAAATATTCAACGATTTGATTCGGTCGTAACACATCGTTTAATACTCTGACGACATTACGGCTTGTATGACGCTTGCCCAGGGGAGAGAGTGGTGTTGTCGTTTATCAGCTCCATTTGCATGTTGGATGGCTGATCTATTATGCTAGGAACATGTTCAAAAATGTTTTCGGCTCAGGGTTTCTGGTGAGAACATCACATGTGATTCTGACATGGGTCATAACGTTAATCCTCTTCCTACATGATACAGGTGAATCTATCACTTTACATTCATAGGCTTTGCCTCTATAATCGCTCGCACACCCCTGGGAGCTGTGGTGGTGTTAAGTGTGTGAGTGATGTGTTCACAGAGCTGAGGAAGCAGGAGGAGACGGGCCAGCTTGTCCAGCCCGTGCTCTTCGTCCTGCTGGTGCTGCTGTCTGTGCTGCTGTACTTCGCGGTCTCTCTGATGGACCCGGGTTTCATCCTGTCTGATGACACGGACTTGCAGGTGAGCACGAGCCTACTGTACATTACTGTTATCACTCCCACTCTTTACCTTTGTGTTGTGATGGTTTGAAGCAGCTTGAATGTTTGCATTGCTGGTTAAAAAACCTGATTTAAAAAATATATCTTAAAAGATAATCGTGTGCTTGCAGTGCCAAAACAATAATGATAACAATAATTTATTTAAGGCAAACTAACACTCTGCCTTTAATTCAGTTCAGTTTTATTTATATAAGATCACAGCAATAGTCGCCTAAAGTTGCTTAATATTGTAACTTAAATGAGCTGTAGGCCACTGCTGGCACTGTCATCTCTTTAGTGGCCACTTTAGTGTAAGTAGTGCAAAAACAAACCAATCAAGAAAACGCCCGCAAGTATTTCCAAAAATTTAGTGTTTTGTTTGTTTGTTTTAAATTTCAAATATTGTATAACAAGACAAAACTGCCAGTGTTAACACATTTTTCCCCCCCTCATGCTTAACTAACCGAAGCCTTTCATTAAACTACCAGAGAAGGAAATTGCTACTCTCTTTCTGGCCAGACACATGGCAGCACTTCTGTTATAATTTTGTTCGTATTTAACAAAATAAAAAAGCAGACAAGTGTACACGTTAGCTTTTGACTGCTGGTGAAAATTGTTTTTTTTCAGAAATAACTCTCACTGAACTAACACAGCCAGTCCCTCAACATGTTTGTACTCTCTCCTCATGATGCCTTCATATGAAATCATTTTTTGCTTTTTAAAGAACTTATTTTAACATTGCACTCAACAACAAACAAATCCTCCCAACAAAAAGGTAACTTCAATATACGGGCTGCAAGTAGGGGTGACGTGAGCCACAAGTGGCCATGGGCTGCGAGTTTGAAACCACTGCCCTACTCTAATAGCGAGAAAGAAAAGTATGTGAGGGTGGTGCAGCACATGTATGAGGACAGTGGTGAAGGATCTTCTCTAAAGCCTTTCTTGTTTCCAGTTGAAATTAGGGGTGGCTTTAAAAAATCTATTTTCCGATTCAAATCGATGTTAGCTAGAATAACACAATATCGATTCATTAAATCCTGAATCGATTTTTAAATATAAATTTATTTTGCCAGAAACACCAGAATCTCAGGTTAAGGCTCACAAAACAATTTCAACGACCACCAAACAGCTAAAACAGCAAATGAGAGCAGGTAAACAGAATCCGCACAAAGATGTAAACACAAAGAGCAGATCGTTCAGCCGATGGCATGTACACAGACACGCTGTCTGGGCTGAATTCTGATTCTGCAGGTTTTGTCATTATCCGATCAAAATTCACTGAACCAGCAGCAAAAGAAGATCAAAACTACAGTTCACATTTGATAAACATCATATTTAATTCCCTCCTACTTTTGCTGTTTTGCTTCCACCACAATAAAATCAAACTTCCTGCACAGCTCTCGCTCTCTTTCTCTGTGTAATTCAAGAACAGTTTCCCTCAAACTCAAATCTGTTTTCTGCATTATTCGCTTGCTTATTACGCACCAGTCTACCGTTGTGTGCATTGCTGTCGCCCGCTGTTTTGGTTTTTTTTGGTTTGTTTGTTGTTTTTCAAAAATGCCTAATTTCTGCTGTTCAACGACAAAGAAATGTAAACTTTTTAAAATTATGCCAAACTGTAAAAGGCTTAGCTGTGTCTCTAATAAAACCTCTGTAACTTTGCTCTGTTTCGCTTCAGCAGCATCAGGTAATGTTCATATGTTAATTCATGGTTTTCTTCTGTTTTTGATCTACTGCAGAGAATTTTTAAGGTGGTGCTATAAAAATTCAGGCCAGGAAAATCCCCTTCATGTTTTTCTGTGTTTTATCCTCAGTTACTTTGACACAAAGGCATGTGCTGTGATGCTTACACCTCTGACGAAGTCAGTTTTTATACCTAGATATAAAATATGGATATGTACTGATAAATGATCAGAATTATAATATACCTGACTAAGTCAAAATTGAATTTAATCAAATTGAATCAGGGATAGAATTGAATTGGGACCTCGTGAATCGGAATCAAATCGATTATAGAAATCAGTGATGATATCCAGCCCTTGTTGTAATGGACAGGCTAACAGATGAGGTCAGGCAGGAGTCTCTGTGGACTATGATGTTTGCAGTTGACATTGTGATCTATAGCGAGAGTAGGGAGCGGTAGAGGTATGCTATGGAGAAGAGGAATGAAAGTAGCAAGAACAGAATATGTGTGTGTGAATGAGAATGAGATAGGTGGAAAGGGTGAACATGCAAGGACCAGAGATAGTGAGTTACTGTCGATGTGCCAGCACAGAGAGTGGTACTCTGCTCTTAGATGAAGTAAAAGGATTTCATGCAAGTCAGAAGTTACTAGCAAAGATGCAATTAAAGGTTCAGCTGTTGTATAACTTGGTTGGGGTCCAGACCATCTAAAGCAACAGACGCTGCCCAAGAGAGGTGAAAGAGAGTGCAGGCAGAATGGAGTGGGTGGAGATAAAAGTCAGGAGTGTGAAAGGGATGATTTACAAGATGGTAGTAAGACATGTTATGATGTATGGCTTGGAGACAGTGGCTTTGACTAACAGACAGGGGGCTGAGGTGAACATGTTAAGATTTTCACTTGGAGTGACCAGGAAGGATAAGATTAAAAGTGAGGACACCTCAGTCCATCTGATGTCCCTACCATATAGAAAAAGTGGGAAACAGTGACAGTGTCCACTTTAACATAATTTGTTAGCTGGACAGTTACTCCTTTCTGACCACTTTGTCTTCTTTGTTGTATTAGTTCATGCTGGGAGTGACTGAGGAGCAGCAGGACATGATTCCTCCTGCCACCAAATCCCTGAGACAGCGCCGCTGTGGCCACTGTCTGCTTCAGGTATGCTGCTCAGCTCATCGGCAGAGGTGGTATACACACGTCACTTAAATAGAAGTAGAGACACTTCCAATAAAAAATACCCTGGTAAAAGTTAAAGTACTTATTCAACTTTTTTACTCCAGTAAAAGTAAAAAAAAGTACAGGCTTTGAAAAGTATAAAAGTAAAAAGTAACTCCTTGTTACTTCAGTTCTAATTAATAATGAACGTAAACAGTTTGCACATCCATAATGTAGAACACAAGCAGAGAAAAACAAAGGGAATTAAAAGAAACTAGCTCTGTTGCCTTCATTGTAGATATGTGGAGATCAGATGGAGCTTTCCTGCTGCTCTTTCTGGTATTACGGCTGATTTTCAACCCAAAGCAGTACAAAGCTAATTCAAAGGTGGAATTCATTGAGTGAATCTAATAAACATCATCACCTAATTTGCTGCCTGCTGCCCTTGGTGTAACCTGACACTGACCACCACTCCATCATAGGGCATGGCTGTAAACGTCACTGTGTTGTGAGATAAGCAGTGTAGTCTGCACTCAGCTGCCTACAACTGTCATGGAACATGTGAATAACAAAAAGGCAGTATGCCAGTTTATTATCGTCAGGTCTCTACAATCTTGAGCGCCCGGAGTTGATTGTTCTTGTAATTTAGCGCTATACAATTAAAATGGAATAGAACTGTGTTGAATTTTGCACAATGTTTCATAATATGAAAACCGCGAATTGCTACCTTATCGTGGTGGAGGGTTTTGTGTGTCCCAGGGTTCCCAGGGGCTATGTTGTCCAGGTGCTTTTGCCTCCTGATAGGGTCTCCAATGGCAAATTGGTCCTGGGTGAGGGACCAGACAAAGAGTGATTCAGAAGACCCCTATGAGTGCAAGATCAAGGGAACACTTCACCTTGGGTGGATGATTGACATGGCTCTGCAATGTTGTGTGGAGATCAGGGGTGGTACCTCTGGATTTGCAGACCGGGGTAGTGGTTCCCATCTTTAAGAAAGGGGGAACAGTCTGTTAGTCGAACCTCGGATACAGGAGGAACAATGTGGTTTTCATCCTGGTTGTGGAACACTGGGCCAGCTCCTTATCCTCTCAAGGATTCTTGAGGGTGCATGAGAGTTTGCCCAACCAGAGAAGACACGGAGAAGGCATTCAACCGTGTCCCTTGGGGTGTCCTGTGGGAGGTGCTTCAGGAGTATAAGGGCGCCTGGCCCATTTCTACGGGCCATTCGATCCATAGACAACTGTTGCAAGAGCTTGGTCCACATATCTGGCAATAAGTTGAACTCGTTCACTGTGGGTGATGGACTCCGCCAGGGCTGCCCTTTGTCATCGATTCGGTTTGTTATTTTTATGGACAGAATTTCTATCTGTACTCAAGTGGCAGAAGGCTTTCATTTGGGTGGTCTCAGAATCTCATCTCCGCTTTTCGCAGATGATGTGATTTTGTTGGTTTCATCAGATGATGACCTCCAGCTCGCACTGGAACGGTTCACAGCCGAGTGTGAAGCAGTGGGAATAAGAATCTGCACCACCAAATCTGAGGCCATGGTCCTCAGCCGGAAAAGGGTGGAGTGTCCACTCTGGGTCAGGGACGATTTCCTGCCCCGATTTGAGGAGTTTAAGTATTTCATGGTCTTACTCACAAGTAACGGGACAAGAGAGCAGGAGATCGACAGATGGATTGGTGCTGCAGCTGCAGTGATACGGACGCTGTACCAGTCCGCCATGCTGAAGAGAGAGCTGAGTGTAAAAGCAAAGCTCTCTACTTGCTGATCAGTCTACGTCCCTACCGTCACCTATCACGAGGTCACGAGCTCTGGGCAGTGACCGAAAGAACAAGATCACGGATACAAACAGCGGAAATAAGCTTCTTTCCAGAATGATAATAATAATAATAATAATAACTTTATTTATAAAGCGCTTTCAAACAAAGTGCTGTACAACTATTTAAAACTAAAAAGATTTAAAAAATAATAAAAGTGATACATAGCAATACAGGTAAAAGACACAATACAAGTTAAAAAAAAGAGATAGGTTTAGGACTTCAGCCATCTGGGAGGGGCTCAGAGTAGAGCCGCTGCTCCTCCACAACGAAAGGAGCCAGTTGACGTGGTTCGGGCATGTCCCACCGGGAGCAGACCCCAGGGCAGACCCATGACTCGCTGGAGAGATTATATCTCTCAACTGGCCTGGGAACACCTTGGTGTTCCCCCAGACAAGCTGGAGGAGGTGGTCGGGGCCAGGCATGGTCTGGGCTTCTCTGCTTAGGCTGCTGCCCCTGCGACCCGGCCCCAGGTAAGTGGAAAAAGAAGATGGATGGAAAACAGATCACACCAAACAACAGATCATCTATTGATCTGACATCTTTTTTTAAAAACAGCTCTAAATTAAATAAGGAGATTACACGTCAGCTATCTAATGCCACTGAGCAATCTTTATCCTAGAAGATAAAATCTCCTGTTATCTCTCCATCTCCGAGTGAAGTTATCTCACTTTCTTTTCTGTCCTTTGCAAGCACAGCAGGCATGCTGTGTGACAAATGGCACACAAACTGTTTGTGTGTCTGCTCTTATGAGTATATTTGAAAAATTGCACTGGAAATTCCTTGAGGTGACTCTTGTTGTGAATTGGAGCTGTATAAATAACATTGAATTTAAATTATCCACGACTTTAAAAAGTTTTATGCTTCTCTTCCGTAGCACTAGATGCAGAACCACCAGTGTTGTGGAAAAAAAGCTTATTATGACCAGCTTCCAGATATCTGGACCAAAACACACTGTTCTGGATTGTTCCGGCCCACTTTAAGCCTTGAAAACAGTGCTGTAAATGATGCACCGACTAAATGTTTTTGCCCTGTTTATTTGTTCATGTGCAATAAGCACAAGCAATTATTGTTCCCTCCATTTAGGTTCAACTTTTATATATTTCAATATATAAAATATTTCAAGACGCACAGTAACCTGAAATAATAACTCAAATGTCCTCACATGTCTTAAACTTAGAGTAACAACCCCGAGTAGAAAATGGAGATATTTGGGTAAAAATGTAGGGACTAAAAGGGAAAAATAAATACTTAAGTACAGTTGAGATTTGTACGTGTACAACCACAACCCAAGTGACTAGGTCTCTGAAGGAAAAGGCAGTGAATGTGTGAGATATCTTTGTCACTACATTTGTACTGCACTGATTCACTTTTCTGTGAGGGAGCTAATCTCAGTTGTGGAGAGGTGAGGGTGGTACATCTGGCCAGAACAAAATCAGAGAGCCAAAGCCACCAGAGCCGTTTGGAGGCTAAGCAGGTCACCTACTAATCAAAAGGTTGGTTGTTCGATCCCCATCTGCTTGAGTCTGCGGCCTAAAACTCCTTGGTCAAGATATTAATCCCAAGTTGCTCTCCCATCTTCATCCATTGGAGTATAAATGAGTGTGAATGTTAGATAGAAAGCACTTGTATAGAGGCAAGTTGTATAAAGCGCTTTGAATGCTCAGAGTAGAAAAGTGCTATATATAAGAACCAGTAAAATGGTACCAGTCCATTTACCAAATGGTAAATTGGATACTTGTCACGCTTAAATGTTTTAGACATAACCTGAGTAAACACAAAATGCAACTTTTAAATGATAACTGAATATATTAAGGGGGAAAAAATCTACCTGGCACTGTGTGGAAAAAGTGATTATACCTGTCGAGAAAGGTGGGATTCAGCGAGACATTCAAGTAAATGATGTATGTGCACAAGTCAGATAGATGGAGAGAGGATGATAGTTGTCGCTGGTCATCTGGTGATCAGGCGTTAACAACGTGACTGGATGTCACAAAGGATCGGGCCAGATGTCATCTCAGAAGATGTGACGTCCAGAAAGAGAGGGAGGAGAAAGCTTGACCAGGTATAAAAGTTAGGTGAAAAAGAGATACACGGATCTTCCCTTTGTCCTCTGCAGGATGAGCAGTTCAGAAGATCGAATATAAGATGTTAAAGATTCCAGCAGAGACTCTAGAGGAATCAATATACCTGGATACCAGAGGCAGCTAATGCTGTTACTGCCCCTAACCCTCACCCATCAGGCTCCATCTAAGCTCATTTATCAGAGGTTAGGACTTTTTAAACAGAGAGCCAATCCAGATCTCCTGTATTAGATTGTTGGTTCACCAGATCCACACCCCCTAAACCTAATAAGTGGTCGTGACACCCTTTGAAGCAAGAACTGTAATCAAACATTTTTGATAGCAAGAGTTCATTTTGTTGCATCGGAACCCTGATCTTGACTGAGGCAATTGATGTGGATGCATTGGGGTACAGTATCTTGCCCAAGATAAACTGGAGAAGCGGGGGATCGATCCATTGAATTTTTGATTAGTAGACAACTTACTCTACCACCTTATCAAATGGCCAGAAATAAAAGGACAGTTAAAATTGTGTTGCTTCTAAAACAACGAACGGATGCTGCTTGTGATGGATCCACAACTCTCCAGAGGTCATTTTCTGCTGTTTTTTCCCCCTCCTTGAAGTCTTACTTTTAAAAGGAGTCTGAAGGTCGTTCTGGATGTTGAAGCAGAAGTTTGAATAAGCATATGTCTGCTTGTGACAATAGAGGAAAAGCTGGGGTGGACAGACGTAGCATCTGTATTCCCATACAGGATGGGCAAACTGTACAATGTCACCTCTTTGTTCTCTGCATGTGTTTGTGTGTCAGTGTGTGGCTCTCAGGCTGAAATGAGACACTTGATATCTGGCAGGATCCAGCAGTGGTATAGGATATCAGGAAACACAGGGCTGTGTTACATACCCAGACGACCTTAAAAGTATCAGATAATACTTCAGATGCAGTATGCCGGGACTCAGAGTAAAATGTTTCATCACCAGATAAAAAAAGCCCCACATACTCACACAAACAGGAACTAACAAAAATTGGGCAGAATTCATGACGCGCTGACACTTTCTCTAAGGAGGTACCACGGTCCATTGATAATACTGGACTACTGAGTTGAGCTCTGAGTTGCAGACAGTCTGCTTGTCTCATTTGTTTGTGTTAACGACGTGCTTTTTGTTGATTTTCTATATGTAAACATCAAACATGAGTAGGAAGCGGAGGGGATGAAGGATTTTACTCCAATGAATTTCTGTAATGGTCTTTAATCTTTCCTTCTTCCTGCTCTGTGTTTGTCATCATCATAAGCATTGTGCCTGTCCTGGCCGGTTAGCTCATCTCAGTGACACAACAGTATATCAGTCACCTGATATACTTTTACACATCCAGCTACACTCTGTTTCAGCTGCTTTAGCCTATCCATTTCTAAGGCACTTTACAACCCACTTCCCTGTCATCCCCATATTTCATTTTCAGTTTCATATCTGCTGACATGGTTGCCCACTCTGCTCAGTGCTAGGGGGTCTTCCTGCTGCTCTCCCTGCCTCCGAGTGGCCTATGAACTGAACGGTGATGCTAAATTGCTCTAAATTAAATGACTAAATGGCTGAACTAACGACACTTTGTGTCCTTGGAAAGTATTCACACCGCTTTACCTGTTCCACATTTTGTCACATAGCCTTGAATTCAGTTCTTTTCACTTCAAAATTCTACTTGCAGTACCCCATAATGACAAAGTGAAAAAGCTTGCTTGAAAATCTTGCACATGTATTGTAAAACTCAAAAAACAACAACACTGTGACGTGCACATATTCATAGCATTTATGGATCCTGTTTGCACTGATCATCTGTTAGATCCACCTATGGTAATTCCTCTTTATATACAAGGTCTTGAGTAATCTTAAACACCTCATAGTACCATGACACCCCATTAGAACACTTTGGTCTCAGACTGCTGGTTTACTTGGGGTTTGTAGGATATTTAAAAGTAGAATAGGATGCAGAGGCTTCAGCTTTCAGGCCCCTCTTCTATGGAACCAGTTTCCAGTTTGGATTCAGGAGACAGACACCATCTGTACATTTAAGAGTAAGCTTAAAACCTTCCTTTTTGCTAAAGCATATAGTTAGGGCTGGGCCAGGTGACCCTGAATCCTCCCTCAGTTATAATGCAGTAGGCCTAGGCTGCTGGGGACTTCCCATGATGCACCGAGTGGTTTATACACAACTCTGCATTTAATCATTAATTATTAGTTATTATTAATCGCTTGCTCTTTGAGGCAACTGTTGATGTGATTTGCCTCTATATAAATAAAACTGAAAGAAAGAAAAGGAATTGAATATAAATGGTACAATTATTAAAGATGAGGGTTCTATGGCACGTGAATTTAATAACACTGTATACAGTTAGTAGTGGAATTAACTCAGAATTTCAATTCTTCAGTTGTAACATAATAACTGTGGAACCATCAGATTTATTTTGCGTGCAAGAGGTTAATGAAGCAGAAATCATGGAGATGATTAATGATTTGGACACTTGTTTCATTCAAAAAAAAAAAAAATTGTTCTGTGTTTCAAGCAGCAGCCAATGAGATCAAAGCACTGCCAGACGTGTCAGCACTGCGTCCGGCGTTATGACCATCACTGTCCCTGGATTGAGAACTGCGTTGGTGAGAGGAACCACCGCTGGTTTGTGTTTTACCTGGCCTTCCAGCTGCTAGTGCTTCTATGGGGCCTGCGCATTGCCTGGTGAGCAACACCACCCATCTCTACCTCCATGTTACTGTTGCTGCTGTTGCAAAGCTGTCACATCCTATTGCTCTCTCCTCTTCAGGACGGGTTTCACCTACGTACCCATCTGGCACCAGTGGCTGCGTACAAACGGAGTCCTGACGGCCGTGACCATGCTGCTAGCGCTGCTCTCGCTCATCGTACTGTTGCTGCTCGGCTCCCATCTATACCTGGTTTCTCTCAACACAACCACGTGGGAGTTCATGTCGCGCCACCGCATCTCCTACCTCAAACACTGCGGTGCAGATGAGAACCCCTTTGACCGCGGGACATTCCAAAACCTTTGGGGTTTCTTCTGCATCTGGGGCACAGTGGTGTGGGAGCAAGTGTACTTCAAGGAGGGCAGCGATCAGGTTTAGGTACATTTCAGTGATGAACAGCCTCTCTGGATCTGGGATTACACACCAAATAGGAGGATAAACTGTGCTTGTGAGCGGTTCCCTTTATATAGGCATTTGTGTTGTTGTGCCATAACTGTGGAGCGTTTCCCTCCTTCTCATCCTCTCAGTCGTTCTTTATTGCAATTGATTGCCTGCATTTCCTGTTTTTTACCTCAATGCAGTCGTAGTGAAATATGTGGGAGCTTTCAAATAGTCAGTTTTGGTTAGGAAGTTTTCTAATGAGTAAAGTGATACAGGTGCATGACAGCTATAATAAAAGCATTTCAAATTCTGGTCTAAAGACCTTATGTTAAGGTCTACATCAAGAGAAATAAGAGCTATAATAATTGACTTAAGTATAATGCACAGTTCACATTTGGAATGTTTGTTGTTTATCATGGAATTAATTTTTACTTAAGGTCAGCTAGAATAAGTGATGGATGGAGGAAATTTTACTTCAGTCATGGAAATCAAGGACTTAAATGAAATAAATCATTTTCCTGCTCATGTGTCTTACGGGCTATGGGGCAGGGCAAATTAGCATGATGCCCTAATGATCATGATCTAATAACAGTGCACTAATTTAATGAAATTTAAAGATGCAGCCGATTCATTTCAATAATAATCAATATGCTGCCAAGAGCAGAACAAATTAGCAGCTCAAAAACAGCAGAACCGGTGAGAAACCCAACGAGGATTGTGCGAACCAACGCAGGTCTTAGAAATAGAAAGTGAAGAATGTGAGGTTCAAAGGTCTGAGACACAGCTGGAGCTCAGGATTTAGCCAGCATTTTTCAAACAGCTGTATGACCTGTAAGATGTGTAGAAGGTAAACAAAAGCATCAGATCTTGAGCCTCGCACACGTTCGTGAAAATACAGCTACTATGCCTACATGCTTATGAGCATTGCTCATTGTTGGTCTGTGCAGACTCCAGAGGACGGACAGTTCAGCCAAGTTTCAGTATTAGTGAGCAGAACACTCAGGGACAGGACTATTGCTATTTTTTTGTGACCTTCACGAAACATCACAGTAAGAACACGCTAATAAGGTGGGCATTTTGCCATCCATTGTCTCGATGCTGTAATTTCAACACAGTAGACATAGAGTTGGTTAGAATCTCAGCACACAGGCTTCTTTTCCCCAACTTAAACATTTTGACCTCGATGGAGAACATCACCAGGTCGGGAACAGGAAATAGGAGTCATTTTTAGGACAATTTGAACATAGTGTGTGTTTCCAGAATGAGGCCTCTTAATAACTGGTAACCAGCACTGCGGCCTTCCTCCTTATTGTTTACACATCAAGTTCATAATTTCCTTCAAAACAAGCAACTCTCTACATTGTCTTCAGGCATTTTACACACCCGAGTGAATCCGGTTAAGCTAGGACTTTACTCACCCAAATACCCTCAGTCCTGCCTCTTCCACAAAATCATTTAAGTAACAAGTGATGTTTGTTGACAATAACCTGACTGTTCACCCTCAATTCACATCAATCATTACATTCAAAATTTGAGTAACAATTACTTTAGTGTAGTGGGTTCCATTCTCTTGTTGTCTCGTATGATGAATGCTGTGCCTGTTTTACAGGATTCACCTTCTCCAGCAGCGTTTGTCACTAAAGTAGGTTAGTCCAAGTGAGTGTGTTTGAAATATGAACTGTATTGTTCCTGGCAATTATTCCATACATGTACACGATATTTAGACCTGTTACAGTGTCTCAAGTTGTTTAAAATTGTACATATTTTTAAAACTATTTTGGAGCAGAAAATGTCTTTAGATTTTTGTAAAACTATTTTAACAGGGACTTGAATGATACAGTGGAACACTGGTTATTAGCTAAAAGGTTTGAGTGCAATATGTTTCCATTTAAGGTTTTCCTTGTGCAATAGTAACCTTGTAAGACAGCAATAAATGTTTGTGTTTGATCCAGTGCAAAATGCTGAGTCCTTCTGCTTGGACAGTAAGATCTCTGCTTTTTTTTTTTTTTTTTACAAATTAACATTTACAGTCTGTGTAGTTTTCAATTATATACAATATTGTCATGCAGTGTTTTTTTAAATACTGTAAATACTGGAAGTACTATAAAACTCAATAAATGTTTCATGAGGAGCTTTCTGGTTAAAGTCCAGCATTTATACATTTATTCATGTTTACCTTCACATAATTTACACTTTACATATAGGCTGGTTTTGTCTAAATAGGCACATTTGTTATTTAAAATTTCTAGACATTAACAGGTCGATATCAGCAGAAGTGAGAATTTTGGCCATTTTAAGCATTTAACAAAGAGAGAATAACAAAACAATCAATAGAAAAGTACATTCAGTGCATTTTACCTTCAGTGAGACTTCACATATTTACAGGTTGGACAGTGTTACTCTTCAGAAACATTGCAGTGTAAATATTCTGTAAATAGCCTAACGAAAAATGACAAAAAAGTACAAAAATGATTTTGGCAAAGTGTTAAAAGTAACTCCTGCACAATGAAATCAGACCCAGCTAAGCAGATCTTGCCAGGGAAGAAATATCTGAAGGATATCTAGAGTTTTTCCATCTTCTGCTCTTCTGTTGAGCCAGAAGAGCAGTGTTGAATAAGACAGAGCTTGAATCGCCGTGGTCAGCTAATGAAAGAGAAATCAAAGTCTGCAAAGATTTCCTGTTGCTCAGCAGTGAGGACGCAGGGTGTCCGCGGGAGTGTAAGGACCGGTTTGAGACGAGTGAATTCTTCATCAAAGTTACTGACATCCTGTGGAGCTCTAATGGCTGGCAGGAAGGGAGGCTTCACCTTCTTGGCCAGAAGAGCATCCCAGTCCATTTCCTGGTAACATAAAATAGGAGTTAAATTGTCTTTTTCAAGAAAGATGTGGCCA